TTGGACACACTCGAGCCTCTCTCTTCTGCCGAGACTTCAAGCAGATTTAAGGAAGAAACAGGGAGAATATGGAGGAGGGACCAACCCTTTCCAAACAGAGGCCTCCGATTCCGAGTGGTGAGTGTTTGCTGCTGAGCTCCCAGCATAGTGCAGCATGGAATGACCACTCGTAGGCTTGAATGTGTGTGTGGCTTTCTAGCTCTGAATCTGCTGCATTTGAAGCCAAAGGGTCTGTACACAAAGCAGAGCTGGCTTGGGAATCCCACGGAATAAATGGTGTTTTTCTTTAAGCTCAGCGTTTGACCTGACGTTGTGACATGGGCAGGTAGAAGGGAAGATTTGCTGGGTGTTTCTATGGCTGCAGGTAGTGTTTGCTGGTTCAACCCATGAGTGGATCCCATGAGTTGTTACCACAAAGGATAAAAACCAAGTGAGTTATGCAGGTGTCCATGGAAGCCAGCGCAAACAATTAGTCATAAATTCCAGCCAGGTTCATTTTCAGGAAATTGGCACATGAGCTTTTCTTTGATGCTTTTTAAATCTTTTCTTTATACTTTGTCAGGACTATGAGATGAATTTCTGCACGGAAATGCAGCTGAGGGGAAGGCAGCTCCATTCCTCCTTGATGCCTGCAAGGCGTGGAGCTGTTGGGAGCGTCACATCTTTGCGTGCAACACAGACCCCCGGCAGCCTGGAAAGCCGGGCTTAATTTTTATTTATTTCAGCATATATATAAAAAAAAAAGAAGGTCAGTGTGTGACATACCTGGGCTGCATCTGGCAGCAGCTTCGTTTCAGTCTGTTGAGCAGGATGAATTCAAATACGCCCGTCCCTCTTGCTCGGAGCAGCGCGACCTTCCAGAGGGCTTCTCCGTCCCTAGAGAGGTTTGTGGGATGTTGAGCAAGTGCCAGGAGGGCTCTGGCAGGTTTTGCACAAGCAAAATCTGATTTTCCACAGTTTGACTCGTGTGTTTCTGTAACAGACCTTTGCATGAACACCAAACAGCTTAGGAGATAAACGGCGTTCAGTAAATCTGCCAGTGCAGTCTCAGTGTGGTTTATTAATACAGTGCATCATATGCATCTTCCCGCTCACAACATTTGGTCAGAATTTATGGTGTAGAAGAGATATCTTCCTTTTCAGCACTCAGATGCAGGATGTTTCCACCCGAACCCCCAGTTCCGTTTCTCTGCTCAAAAGTGAGTTCTCAATTCCCGCAGACGTCTTAAACGTGTTTCAAACTTCGTGTAGCCACTTCAATCAGGAGCTACCCCTAGAAACACCAAACCAGCTACACCTTGCAAAGCCGAGTGCAAGAGAAAATTTCAGGTGTTGCTGCACGAGACCTTTTTAGCTCACAGTGCATCCAGTTTTAAAGAAAATCATGGGAGTTGTCCCTGGCTCGCTGGTGTTGGGGGGGTTTTGGAGCCTGCTGCCTTCAAGCCGTCTCCTTGACAGCTCTGTAGGAGGAACAAAGGGCCCAGCCGAGCAGAGATGATTTGTAAACACTGGGAAAGGGAACAAGGAGCCTTCCCACCCACCCTACCTGTGGCTGATGCATTGAAAGTGCCAGCTGCCTCTGTGCACAAAGGCACAGAGAAACAAGGCTGGGGGATGCACTGGACTGCTCATTAACCCTTAGGATACCCCTGGATCCTTAGGGAAATAGTGGGTCTGCATCATTTCCATGAGGATGCAAAAGCACAGTGTTCTCTGCAAATCCAGAAATGCTTATTTTACAAGGCCCTTTTATGGTATTTTTCTTTCCCCAATGTTTTCGGGGCCTTTGACATTTTCAGCATTAAATCAGAGGCTGAAAACTGCATTTTTGCCTTGTTTTCCCAGTGAGGACTTGGTTGCTGATTAAAGCCTTTGGCAGTGCGCGGACAAAAATTAATGCATTAACAACCTAACAATGAAATCAAAGTGAATTAGAATAGCATTGTCTGAAATAAATTATATTTTGTTAGTACTGTGTAATGTTCTTTAAACTGATGACAATGATTTATTTCTGCTTAGATAAATGATGAAACTAATCAGTGAATTGCTGGATAGATGCTTTGTTAAATTAATCCCATATTCAATTGGGAGTCTTTAATCTATTGCTTTGTGTACTTTCTTGTCATAGAAATCATAGGAGGAGGGGGAGGTTCTTCTCTCATCTACATAAATATGCACTAGAGCATCTTCATTGCTCATCAGGGAAGTTTCGTAGGTTTGAACCGAGGAAGCGAAAGCAAAAATAGGATTGATTCCCAGTATGTAAGGGCTTGGGTTCTTTTTATTTAACAACATTACCAAAAATGGGTGTGGGTCAGTCACTTATTTTTACATTTTTTCCTCTTTTAAGCTAGATAAACTAATGTTGTGCTGGTTTTCTAGTTTATTCACAAGTCACTCCTCATTTTATCAATGAGGAGAATAACAAACGTGTTAGTGAAGAGACGGCGAGGGCCCCCAGCTCTAGGAAGCCAGCACTAACAGAAGGGCTTTTGTCCCAGCCTTGCATTCCCGGCAAGCTTTTGTCAGGCCGCTTCCCAGCTGTGGGGAGGAAAGCAGCTGAGCTTTCTGCAGTCATTTGACATAAGGGTTTACAGTTGGACTTGATGGCCTTGAAGGTCTTGACGCCATGAGTCTATGAACAGTTGGGTCCCTACGAGATGATGTTATCTAAGAAGTGGGAGGAGTTGAGCCCTGGTGAATAGAGAGCAGTTGGTTGTCCGTGCAGGCCATCCCATGAGCATCCTTCAGCTGGGGAGAGAAGCGTGTGCTGCAGGCTGGTGATGTCCTCGTGGTTTCAAAGCCTCTTCCTTGGGAGGCAGAAGGTGGCCTTGCCTTTTGCAGAGGGACCAAGGAGCTGTGTGGTTCATGCTGGCCAGTGGGCAGCGCTCGAGCCTAGGCAGTGTGTGATGTGTGTGTGTGTGTGTGTGTGTGTGTGAGACCAGGTGGGTTGATGGAGTTGATTGCAAAACAGGCTCAGAGCAGAGTTCCTGGCAGACAGCAGTGTTGCAGATCAGGTGCACTCAGGTGCCTGAAGAAAGGTCATATGTAAGATAACAAATACAGGTTTCTCTGGGGCATCTTAAGCAATTACTCCTCATTAAGCTAAAAGCAGCTGAAATGCCTGCAAGCAGGAAGGACACCCACTGTGAAGGCCCTGGAGCGTGAGGAGTTGCATGATGTCTGTCTGGAGCTCTGCAAACTCACACCTTGCATCTTCTGGAAGCTGCCTCTGTTGGAGCTACAAGCTAAACAAGGGGCTGTAATTGCCGTCCAGTGCAGTGGCCTGATTTGCCAGTACTTTGCACAGAGGTGGCTAAAGAGTGAGTTTTGGGGGGCTTAAACCATTCAACATGTACCAAAGCTGCATGAGTTGCAGGGCATCATGTCCGCATTTCTTAAATATGAGAGTTAAGAACTGCTGCCTTTCTGATTTGTCACGGGCTTGTCTGCACAGGACTAGCTGTCTTGGAAGGGGCCCTGCGATACCTTCAATAGGAAAGGCACAGTTATTTATAAAATGTATTCCTCTTCCACATCTCCTCCCATTTGCCTTTCCGATAGCGAGCCTGTAGGCTCTCATTCGATCAGGGTCACCTCTGAAATGAGATGCCCTGTGAATGCCAAGGTAAAGCCCTGGTTCAATAAATGTGCAAATTGAAAAATGGCCTCGAGAAGGCGGAGGCAGGAGAAGGACGTGGCTGCGTGCTCAGCCCTGCACTCCTGGGCCTCAGGAAGCTGAAACCGATTTTTTTTCCCTACCTTAGCATAGGTTAATCCAGGATTAAGACATGCAAGACGGTTGAATTCATTTCGTTAGAAAGCAGGTTGTGGCTTTGTGCCGGCCATACAGAGCCCCGTTTGCCGAGGAGAGAAAGAAACCCCGAAGCCAGCTAAGCGTAAGGAGGGAAGGGAGTGTGACAGTGTCGCACAGCGGTCCCAGCAGCTGCGGCTCGTGCTGGAAGAGCAGCCCTGCTTCCCGCACTGCAGCCAGTACGTTACGCGGAGCTGGGTGCTGCCCTGGGCACGTCTTGCAGCCTCTAAGTGGGGTGAGTGCGGCCACCTCGGCGAGGCCGCGGGGACATCTGCGTCCTCGCAGGCACTTCTGTCCCTGCTGCAAAGTCAGGGCTTGGCAGGCTTGATAAATAAAAATTTCCCTGCTCAAATTTGGCATGAGGAGAATATTAAGCCTGCTCTCGGAAGTGCATCCTGTTCTCATAATAGTATCGCGCTGCTCTGAATTCCCATGCCTTTATTACTTTATTTTTATTTTTTTAACATACTGGGCTACACTGATGTATAGGACTGCTGTATGGTAAATAAATAAAACTAAAAAAAAAAAATAAAAAAAATGTCAGGAAAGCTGTCCCAACTTTTCTGTAGGTGAACAGCTCAGGGGCTCACATGCAAATGTCCCACATCGAGTTTCAAGATCCCCTGGAAGGAAGAAGACCGTGACAATCTACCATATGGCCCCTGTGTTTGGTGCCCTCCTGATGCTGGCGACACAGCGGCTTGCCCTCGCGCTGCGCGGCCTCCTGCGTGGCCAACGCGGCCCTGCTGTAACTTCTGCTGCGCCCGGGCAGCTCCCCGCGAGCTCCGAGTGTCTGTGCCTGAGGCTCCGGCGTGGCAGGGCCTGAGGAGAGCCGGGTGGTGCCTGGTGCCGTCCGGTGACCGCGCGGTGCCCAGCGCCTGCCGCCGTCCTGCCACTGCCCCAGGAGGTGACTTTCCTGGCTGTTCTTCCACCAGTCTTTGCTCCCGTGGGAATATTTTTTCTTTGCATTACTGATGAGTTGAAGTCTGATTTGGGGGCTCGGAAGGGCCCTATTCCAGCCTCTCTGCTACCTTGAGTACATTCTTCTCTTCCCCGCCGGCTCCTAATCCTGCCTTTCCTTTCCCCGCGTGGAGCCCTGCCAGGCGCCCAGCTTCTCGCGGAGCGCCTGGCACAAGGGCTGCCCTGTGCTCCCCTCCTCACATCGGCCCTTGTTTCCTGTTGCCAGGCTACCCCGCTGCAGCTGCCGCTGAGGAAGTGCTCCGTGGTGGGCAACGGCGGCATCCTCAAGAGGAGCGGCTGCGGCAGGCAAATAGACAGCGCCGACTTCGTCATGCGGTAAGTAAGCCACAGCCCGCCGCGCTCCCCTGCTCGCTGCCTCGCCTTGTGTGGCCCCTTGCTTGCGAGTAACCCATTCCCATTTGCCCCTTGGCCTTGATCTATGTCTCTGTTGGTTTATTTATTCATTCCGTGGGACCCTTGACACAGGCGGCTCGGGTAAGGGCGAGAGAAGAGGCAGTGAGCGCAGCACGTGGCTTGGGGCCGCGCGCGCATCGCGGCGAGACGGGCGCACAGAGGCGCTGGCCTCGAGCCAGGCTCTGCAGCACCAGCGAGAGGGAGCTGGAAGCTGCTGCTTCTCTTTTCAAAGGCACAGCCCTAGGCAGGAGCTCATCCTGCCATGGGCTCTGCCCTGTAACCCCGAATGCCGTCATCTGGCACCCATTAAGCTCGGAGTGAGGAAACACTGGTTTACAGGCCAAGCTTGAGGAAGGAAGCTGGAACAAAGTAAATGCTTTTATGGTTTTTCCTCCCTGAAGGTAATTCCTGACTGATGAAGGTAAAGCCAAACCTTTTTCCTTAATTCTCTTTTCTTTGAGTTCCTCAGATTCCCTCTCACCCTCGCTGTTCTGAAGTCATTAGAATCTGTCCAACAGGATGTTGAACCAGACAGTGCTTTCTTGACTGAATTTGGTGCTTTCCAGATCCGCACACTTATGAAAGGAAGACAGGAAATGAATTCCTTTTTGTTCGACATGAACAAGAAAAACTTTGTTGGAGGAATGCTCCCCAAAAGATGAGAAATGGAGATACTTAGAGCTTTGAAACAGATGCATAATTAACAGCCACTTTAGAAAGCTCCCTTATTACATTTGGATTAAAACTGTGCAAATTTGCTCAAAACCAAACAATCTTACCATGTTTTCTGGTTCCCGCCCTGAAGACCAAAAAAGCAAAAAGGCAAAATACAGTGATCTGAAGACAAAGGAAACATATATTTAAAACACAAACAGGCACAGAAGGAGGAAGTCAGTGAGTTGATTGCCATTATTGTGAAAATCCTTAGGGGTTCCAGAGACTACGTATAAGAAACTGTAGAGTATATCATGGTAAGGTTATTGAGATGCAGTAGAAAATTGAATTACTGTAGGAGCAATCAATGACAAAAAATAATAGAAACTTTTTTTTCTATTTTTTAAGCAGCTCTTGCAGCTTGATCAGAGAAAACATTTTCCTCTCCAGGGAGGGTAAACCAGCCATTATCTGCACAGACATTATGAACTGGAAAGAAGCAAAAGGGAAAATCCTGCACAATCTCAATAGCTGTCTGCAAACTATATTGCATTAATCATATGCAGTCATATTTATGGAAAATGTTTCAGTTCTTTTGAGTAGAAGCTACTACACTACTGAAAGAAAGTATTTCTATGGCCTGTGGAAGATGGGATTTAATAAACCTCTTCTAAATCTGATGTCTATAATCTGAGAGTGAAAAAGCACAATAATTGTGTAACATCTTCCATTTGCCCTTAAGAAATGCTCTTAAGCTTAATTCATGTTCTGACCATCATCTCCAAACACAGTTGTACCATTACATGCATTAGAAGAGCAGCAGTTTTTAGCCCCAAAAGCATAGCACACTGCATAAGCAATGGAAAAGAGGCTTGGCCTTGGCCACATCGTCTGTATGTTCAATCAATGTGGTTATAGTTACCAGGTCTTCTTTTCACGTTTGTAATCTTCAGTGTTAAGTAAATTCTTTATTTGTCCTTACTGCAAATGCTTATTTTAGGAGATATATATCAGGTAGTAAACCCAAAGAAGTTTTCTTGTCCATGTTTTGACAAAATCACAGTTAATAGAGGAATCCCATGTCCTTAGCATTAGATTGTGAAGGAATATTTCTACCTTTTAGTTCTCCCCTTTTCTCAATGGCCACATCTCCCACAGAGATGAGTTTTCCCCACTGTAAAACAGTGTGGGGAGGAGGATGTCTCTGACCTGGTGGCTGTTAAATTTGTTAAGTTTGGACTCACAAGTTCCAACTAGGGCTTTCTAGCTCTTGGTTGGACAAAGCTAAGCTCTTAGCTCTAAGTTTTGGGCCTGCTGTGTAGGCAAAGCTGGGCTGCTTAAGTGCAGTGCTGCTTTCGCAATGTCCAGAGAAACGTTGCTTTCATTTGGCATATGTAGTTATTGTCTTGATGCTGGCACAGGTGCCATAAAGAAGTAAAAATGAACGTTGGAAACGGACATTAAAAATTCTGATTAGTCCTTTTCACTTCCAGCCCAGGCAGATTAAACTGTGTGTTTACCATGCATGCGCGATAGATTCTGAAGTAGGTAATTGCATAATATCTACCAAATGAACAAGTTCTTGCCTGGCCAAATTGCATGATTTCTCTATATCTGTGGGACATGGACATCTCTCTGGATCAAACGCAGAAGAGCTGTTACTGCCTTGTGGAGGGTGAAGGTCCCTCTCAGTTCACTCTTGCAGTTGTAGTGACCTGTTGAGCTGAAGGATCTCAAATATAAAAAAGGTGCATGCAAAAAAAAAAAAATTGAGACTGAGCAAGGAGATACATAGTCCTGTTATGTTTCTTCCTTCCTGTTCCATTCATGGAAAAAATACAAAAATGCTGGTCTTAAATGTTGTCCTGGTACTTCCTTCTTTCTCACACATTGCAGGCTTCTTCCTCAGCACCAGGAGCCAAGAGTAAGACCATTAAATATACACATTCCTTACAATGACTGTTTTGCTTCTTGGTGCTCTTCTCACCTCTGTAACAATCAGCACATGGATGACCAGATTAAGAAAATTGTCTGAAAGGCCAAGAAGTTCCTTGACCAGCTGATTTCCCTGCTGGATACATGGGGCGTTTCTTAGTATTTCATGCAGATCAAGCTGAGAATTAATTTCCTTGTGAAATAAATTAGATCAGTTTAAATAATGCACATAGGACTAATCTGTCAAAGAAATTTCGTATGCAGTTGGTGAAAACTAGTGAGAGATCTCGGTCCTTCACATTACTTTTAAGTAAGCACCAGTCAAAATTGTCGTCTTAAAAGATTTCCCTGTGAATTTGTATTTATTCAAATCGAGACCATAAAACTGTAGACTTGGTGGAAGTCATCCATCTCTTTGCCCTGGGGCAAGATCATATATACATAAATATATATAACTTTGCTTCCCAATGTTTGTTTGACCTGCCATTGAAAACTGCTACAGAGCGAAATTTGACCACCTTTCCAAACAACCTTGTTCTGATTGATTTATACCCTACTCGGCCCACGTGTTTCATTTAGTTTTAATGCAAACCTTTCTCCCTTCTTTAGATTTTTCTCATTCTTTCTGAGAATTAAGCTTTCCATATGCTTCTCATCTTTCTCCAGTGACTGCATTTTCCGAACCCCCTCGGTTTGATTCCTGTTGGCTGACTTCATTTTAAGTCACTTAGCTTCTCTTAAATTGTGGCGGGCCAAACTCAGTTCCTCGGCTGAGATCTCAGTGCTTTCCATGAGGGCCTTAACAGAGACTGTTGTGAAAAGGAGAAAGCTTTTCTTCTTCCTAGGGAATATGGATGACTTATCTATGTTGCATATTCAAAGCCCTTTGCTTTGCTTCTCTTGGCATTTTCTTATCATTTGGATGTGCATTTAAGAATAGGGTTTTGAGAGCTGGTATTTGACTGTATGCAAATCCATGCAATTTTTTTTTTAAGGAAAATGGAATGTTTTGCATCCATAAGAATTTGCAGGGTGTATGTTAGATGCACAGTAGTGCCCTCTCCAGGCACTGCTCTTTTTCATAGAAAAATTATCTTTTATTTTAGAAGTTGGTGAGATATGTAATGAAGACAATTGCTTAGACACTTGTTTTTAAGTTCTATACTAAGAGTAGATCTCGCCTGACTTTAATCTCTGTAGCAGTACCTGGGCTTGGCTACTCTTTGAATCTATTTTGGACATTATCTACCAGTCCTTGCTCCTTCTCCTGGGTATTTACTCAGGAGTGTTTAAGCCTGTTCATTTTTTTAGAAGTTTCCTTCTGCTTCTGTTTTTCTGAGTCTTGTCTCTCCTACTTTCCAAAGTCGACCTGCTTAGTCTTTTCAATATTATCACCCTGCCCACCAGAATAAGACTATGAGGGGAGCTAAAATAGAGATATTTAAAGATCCGCTTAAAATCTTCCTCTGTTTGATAAATTGTGGTGCACTGAAGATTCCCCACAATGTAATATTATATATTCGAGTAGCCTACTGCTTGCAAGAACATACATAATGCTTATGATACTACTGGGTGATAACCTGCTGGAGCCTGGGACAAGGTGAAGGTTACAAGGTGAAACAGGGTGCAAAAGAGAACTTGAAAGGAATTTGAGAGAAGCCATTGCTTCTGTTACGATGTCGTCATCTTACTTCCACAGCTTGTCAGCCTAACAGCCTGGCAGAAATGTCCAGTCTGTGGTTGCCTTTTGACTTCCTGGCTAGGATCATCTCTACAAAACGGTTTATTCCTTTATTCTCCACAATCCCCAGGAAAAAAAGAAAAAAAAGTCCTATTTTGCTTATAGATGTGGTGAAGTAGGGACCATCCATGGCTAGCTGTGGTATTTATATAGTGCTCCTACATTCTCGATCAGTTTATTTGGATTTTTATGAAAACTGCAAATTTAGACTTAAAAAAAAGCCTGAGGTTGAAGCCTGTCAATCCCAAATGTCAATCAAAATCTTTAATGTCTTTCTGTCTGCAGGTGCAACCTTCCTCCTCTCTCCCGTGAATACAGCAAGGACGTCGGAACTAAAACGCAGCTGGTGACTGCAAATCCCAGTATAATTCAGAAAAGGTAGAGAGCATCTTGTTCCTTCTGTCATCTGGGAAAACAAGAAAAATGAAAATGTTTGCTTTTTGTTCTACATATTAGTGCACTGTGGTCTGTGAACCACATTCTGATCCTGGAGGAGATGCAGTAAGCAGTGGATTGCAGTTGGGTGAAATAAGTGGAGAGTAAAACTCTGACTGATCCTTTGCTTATAATTAGAGAAAATAGGAAAGTAACCGGCTTTTTGCAAGTTTTTCTTCTGTCATTCTCTCCCTCCCTGTGCCTGTATGGTGAGGTGTGCACCAACACGTGCACCATGCCTGCCTATGCTTATGGTATATATACCGGTCCACAGTGATTCCAGGTGCTCTCCTGTGATCCCCTTTCCTTTTCTGCATGTGCTGATTTGGCTTTCTCATTGTTCCACAACCAATAATTTCTGTGAAACCTTGTGGGCTCTTCTTGGTATTAAATGTTTGCTGGTTTGCAGTGTCAAAAGTTAGTAGGAGAGGACTGATTGACAGGTTGTGCTCATAAAGCCTGGCTATCTTAGGAAACGGGGATAAAATTTATGTGTTTATTAGGGTTGGTTGAATTTTTCTAAATGTCAGTAGCTGATGAGCGAGGGGAAGAAACAAAAAAAATGTCAGTCATCTCTCTGATTCTGCCTTGCTGAATTTTAATTGCAATGTTATTTGTTTATCTCCCAGAATGTGATAGGCTGTTTGCAGGCAGAATAAAATCTGCTAGTAACTTGCCGTGCTCACTGAAAAACAGAGAGAAAAGGCATAAACTGAGACGATGAACAGGAAATGATTAGGCATAAAATAAGTGTAATGCAGGTGCTGGGAGGTGAAGGATTGTGAAAGGGAAGAAAAGCAGGCGAATAAAATGAATTAAGAATGAGAAGAAAGGCACAAAATAGACATGGAAAATTACATTTCTTGATATTTCAATTCGGTTTAATGTTTTTCTATCAGGAATTGAAGGCTTTTCTAATGTGTGTGTGGTAAATGACAAAGTGGTAGAGAGAGGGAGAACAAGAGGGAGATGGAGGAATAAGCAAGTGCAAGAGCTGGTGCTGACCAGAGGGGTCTGAGGAGGACGGGGCACGGACGGACCTGCTTGTGGGTCAGAGCAGTGTGAAAGGGGCATCACGGCAGGGGGTGGTGGCAGGCGAGCCCAGGGATCTGCTCGGAGCACTGGGACTAAAGATGGGGAGCTGGGAAATGCAGCAGAAAGGACGGAGCTGATGCAGGCATGCAGAAAAAGTGGAATGAAATGGCACATGTCAGGGATGGGGCATCACATGAGGGAAAGGAGGTTTGTTTGACTGTGGCATTTGGGTTAAGAGGAGTAATGGGAAAGGTGAAACTTATCAAGGATGTTACAGTTGTCAAACCAGAGAGGAATGAAACTTGTGGATCTTTCCGTGCTTTTTCTTTCCCTTTCAATACCTAGAATAGAAAAGGGTAGTTCCAAAGGAGTAATAACTTACTTCACTTAACATTTTTGAACAGAGGAGGAAAAGGAAAAACATTTCAGTGACATTAGAAGAAGACTTTGGAGCTAGACCAGAAAGGCTAAGGAATTATTCAGCATGGAAGAAGAACTGAGAGTGAGCATATGGTTGAAGAGGCAGATGAAGAGAGCAAGAAGGTATTTTGTGTGAGCTGGATCTCAAAGGAAGGAGTGGGTGGAGAGGGAAATGCAAAAAGAGCAAGCGAGGAAGGGATGGAAACAGGACAGGAAATTAGCTTGTTTGCCAGATCCATTTTCATGTCTGCATGATCAACTGCGCTAGAACAGCTTTGACAAGAAACTACTATGGGGTGTATATGCATGTGTATTGATTAGATAAGGACATCTATGGCTAATTATTGAGAAAGAGAACAAATTCATCGTGCTGAAAATTGGCAGAAACCTCCTGTTAAGCTTGGAGCTATTGAGCCGTCTGACACTCGCTTCCGCCGCTTAGCCACAGAGATTTTTTTTGTCAGTTTTCGTATAAGACTTTGTTCAACTTCAGTTGCAGTGGAGTGAACATTATAGTATTTTACTGCCCTTCCCTGTATGCTTTCCAAACTCATTATTCTGCCTCCTGCAACTTAAGCTGGAGTCAGACATGAACATACAAGATAAAAAGGTGCGAGCTTGGAAGTTAAAACACAAAGAAAGCCTGCTACTTTCTCAACAAATAATCCATTTCCACGAAAAGAGGCTTTTTGAAGAATTAAGACTGCTTGTAAGTCAGGCTTCCACAATATTCAAGGACTTTCAGATTGGTGGCTGATACAGATCTGTTTCTAAGCTATAAGTTAACTAGCTTCACATAATGGTATTACTGCATTATCAGTCTTCCACTCTCCTCTCGTCCTTGCTTTAAGTAGGTTGATGCTGATGAGGCTTGACATCTCAATTATCTCTCAAGTGTGCTGTGGCACATTTAGTGAATTGGGCCTGCAACACCATTCATCGCTTCTAACAGATTCATCCTTACCAGATAATTTACGATTAGGTGCATTGGACAGGGCAAGGATTTGATACCAGGGATGTGGAGGCAATTTCCGGTGATATTTTAAAACCAGAGTGATTTCCTTGGAAAAACAAAATTGTTGCAAGTGACTGTCTCCCAGTGGCATCTGAGCTGCCGCTGTTTCCCCCTAGACATTCCCTCGAGAGCCAGTTTGCAAATGTAATGGGAATGCAACAAGGAAGTCAAGATTTTGACTTGAATGATACTCTTTAAATATTGCCTTTTGCAAAGCTTTGGGCAACAGATAATAATAATAAAAGAATTAAAGATCGGGTTCCTGAGAGTACCTGCTTAGTTCTTACCAGGAAATACGGCTGTGCAAGTAGAGCAGTTTTCACTTGTAAATATCGTGCTCTCTTCTCAATTGGATTTGAAAACCCCACTTCATATAATACAGGAGTCCTGACAGTAGAGGCAGTATGACAGAAATTCCCCTGCCAGACTAAGAGGACTCGTGATGAATGTCCCCATTTCTTTTTTTTCGCCCAAGATGTCTCACAAGAATCTCCCTCCAGTTAGTATTGGAACTGACAGTCCTTTGTGGCTCTGTGAGATTCCTTTTGCCACTTTACAGCCTAAACCCATGTTGCTGCTGACTCTTGCTTTAAGGCTATAATTTGGATTGAAATGTTGCATAAAACTATTGTGGGGGTACCTACCCCCACCACTTCATCCTCGAGCTGAGGATGGATGCAAACAGGTTGGCATTCCTGGTGTTTCACATTCATATTGCCCTGCTGCTCTAGTAGTCTAGTTGGCTTGTCCGTATCTGTAGGGAGCTATTGTGGGCATTAAACAACTTTATATATAGTTTCCTCACCATTACCAGAACCCAAGGCGTTGTATCTAGCAAAGATTATTCTATATTTAGTCTGGGTCTTATATTCTTTCCATAACTGCTATTAGTCACTGCTAGGAGGGAGGCTGTGTGGTAGCTAGAACTGTGACGTGAATATGTTTCTTTTTCTCTGATTTTCTCTATGACAAATTCAACAAGAATATTAGGTAATATCATTTATGACAGTTGTTTCTGAGCATGTGGCTACTGCTGTGGAACATGACTTGTAAATGGATCCCACATAGACACAAAAACACTTAGGTAGATAGTAATGATATTCAAAGTCTTTTGTTGTTGGTCAAAGTGATGCAAAGAGTTGCCGCTTCGCATGTGGGCATTCCATGTTGCTGAAGTTGCCTACCACTGGGCAACTTAAAAGAAGCAAACTTTAGCAAATACATTTTGGTAGTTTCTTACCATCTTCAACAGCTTTTACGAGTGTAACATAATAAGGCCCCTTTACCTTCTGAATAGACTTCTAATTACATCTGTAAACGATTGCTGGGGAGGTTCCTAATATTCCTTTCTAGTTGTCGTGTCTGTTTCCTCTGTCTAATCTACGCAGACATATGTCAGCGTTAATGTGGATACCCTAGTCCAAATAGATGGTTTCCATGGAAGAAGTTTCAGATCTACTGATGATGGTGGGGAGCTTTTTATCCACCAGCTGTATGTGCGGCTGCGGCCAGCGGAAGAATAATCTCATTAGCCAGTGGCATGATGAATATAGTTGCATTTTTCGTTGCCATAATTCAGCGTTATTAAAACTAGCAGAAGCCCCTGCGGGATGTAACGTGCACTTCCTGGTGCCGTCTCTGTGCTTTAATTCAATCACTGGTTGAATTACGTGGATCCTCCCAGCTTTCCCTTTCTGGGTGCTGCTCTTTGTAGGCATTCATGGTGCCTGGGAGGACAGACTTTGAGCCTGGACTAGAGCCGGCACCTGCCTGGGGGCTGCTGCTGCGGTCGCCTCGAGGAGCTGGGCACGCTCCGGGGCGCGCTCCCTGCCCTCGTGAGTCCCCCTGCATGGGGATTCATGGGATCTGCTGCTTCCCCTCGCAGAACCTCTCCCTGCTGCTGCTGAGGCCCAGGGGAGAGCTCAGGCTGCCGGAGCCCTCCTCACTGGGAAGTGCATTACAGAATCACAGAATGGCTGAGATTGGACAGGACTTCTCTTGGACTATAGATCATCTAGTCCAACCCCCCTGCTCCTGCAGGGACACCCAGAGCACGGGGCACAGGGTGGCATCCAGGTGGGTTTGGAAGATCTCCAGAGAAGGAGAATCCACAACCTCCCTGGGCAGCCTGTGCCAGGGCTCTGTCACCCTCACAGGGAAGAAGTTCTTCCTCACCTGGAGATGAAACTTCCTGTGTTTCAACTTTTACTCATTGCCCCTTGTCCTGTCACTGGCCACCACTGAGAAGAGCTTGGCCCCTGCACCCTACATTCCCCCTTCATGTACTTATACATATTGATCAGATCTCTCAGTCTTCTCTTTTTCAGAGAAAACAGGCCCGTCTCACTCAGTCTCTCCTTGTATGAGAGATGTTCCAGTCCCTTTTCATCTTGGTTGCCCTAAACCAATTAGTCCATGGTAGGAGAGTAGCGTGGGTCAGAGGAGAGGAGAACCCTGGTGCTGAGCTGTGAGC